AGGAAACAGGCTCAGAATGGTTAAGTGACTTGTCCATAGCCACACAGCTAGGAAGTCTAGGAACTGAGACTTGAAAATCAAGACCATGGGAACCATCGTTTTAGAGCTTGAAGTCACCTAGTACAACTTCCTCATTTTAAAGATGGGAAAACTGAGACCAAGACTGGTTAACTGATCTTTTTCAAGGTCAAATAGAAAGTGACAGAGCTAGGATTTGAATCCTGGTCCTCAGACTTCAAATCCAGCCCTTTCCACTAAGATGATGGTATTTATTCTGGCAGGAGAGTAGTATACACCCAAACCAACAGGTTACCATGGGCCAAATTTAATAGAATAATTCTTAATAGGGCTAAATTTAAAGTATTACACTCAACTTGAACAACCAATGCATTGGTAAGGGGTAGAGGAAGCCTGGCTAGACACCAGCTCATATGACAAAGCTCTGGAGTGACTTAGCCAACACCACATGGGAGTTAAATAGCTGACTTTTGATGTGGAGTCCTGTATGCTTCCCAGGACACTATATGTCTCTTTTTCATCATGTAATGATCGACAAGGCAAAGTCTTTGCTCTTCAGGAACTTGCAATCCACTTTTAAACCAGGATGGGGCCTTAATTGTCCTAGGGAAGAAATAGGTTCACCTGAGTGCCCTAGAAAGGTGTCTTTTCATGACAAAGTCACACTTGTCAGTCGATGGGGAGGAAGAACTGCCTAATGAGAACACAATAGAGTACAATAGCATAGCAGAGGCAAAGTTTACATTTGGTGATCATATCTGGATGCAAAGTTTCTTGGTATAGAAAGACCTGTTGACTTTGCCCAGGAAGCAGATGAACCCTAGGAAGGAAGACTGGAAGGAAGGAAGTAAGGAAAGGAAAGATGGGAGGAAGGAGACCAGCACTTATTTAGCACACATAAACACATAAAGTGCCAAGCGCTTCACAAATATCTCATTTGCTCTTCCACCAAATCCTGGGAGATAGGTGCTATTAGTTGTTGCAGGGGATGGAATTTTGGGCTTGGAGTAGGGAAGATTTGAGTGCAAATGTGGCTTCCAACACTAGCTGTGTGACTCTGGGCAAGTAATTTAACCTCTGTTTGCCTCAGTTTCCTCATCTGTAAGATGAAGATAATAATGATACCCATCTCCCAGGGTTATTGTGAGCATAAAATGAAATATTTGTAAAGCACTTAGCACAGTGCCTGGCAAATAGTAGGTACTATACAATATTAGCTATTATTATTATCATTATTATTCCTATTTTATGGTAGAAAAAACTGAGGCAAAAGAGGTTAAGTAATTTATTTAGGTTAAGTCCCACATCTAGCTAGTGCCTGAGGCTACATTTGAACTCAGGTCTTCCTGATTCCAGGCCAAGCACTCTATCCACTAAGCCATCTAGCAACCTAGGATAGCTGCTTATACTTTGGCAGATAATGGAAACAGCACTGTATAGTTCTTTGGAGGTCTAGCCTGGTCTTTTAACTGCTCTGGACAAGTCGATTCATCGCTCAGCTTCTCAATTTCTTTACATGTAAAGAGAGAAGGTTGGGCTAGATTTTACTACATGGTCTCTACTAGCCCCAGATCCTATGAATTCACTCACCTTCTTTGGAGACTGTCCTTTGGAAGTCTTCTGCAGAGGAACCGCATCCATTAACTATACCTGGTTAATGCTGAATATGACTGACAGTGGATCCTGGTTTGTATGGGCCCCTAAAGGATGGTCTTTGGGGAATCCTGTGCTTTTGACACTTCTCTGCACAGGCAGGTGAGGAGGGGAAGGAATTGATCCTGTCTACTTGATGAATGTTTTCCAACCTTAATGGGCTCAGGCTCAGTCCTGGGTAAATTAAACCAGGATTGCCAATCTCTCTACACAAGTTTGATCTTAATTTGGTGTAACCCTGTTTTGAGCACTAGGGCAGGCAAGATGTGCAGAAGGAAGCAGGAACTATGGGCTAGGTCCCAGGGCCAACAAGATTGTGTACCTATGTTCTGTCTCCAGAAAGCCCATTATATTAGTTTTTCTGTTCTAGGGCCACAAATCATAGCAAGAAAGTAGTAGGGTAAAAAGACGAAACAGAGGCAAAGTCTAGGGTTTGGTGATTATACCTAGATGGGCAGTCTCCTAGTATAGACATATCTGTTGAGAGATTCTGTCCAGGGAGCAGACAATCTCTAGGATATCACATTACACCTGCAGGCCAAGCAATTTAGTGTAGTGGAAATAGCACCAGATTTGGGTAATATACCCTGCCTCCCCCAGCCTAGGTCTGTTATAGATGTATGCAACTGGTCACATGGAAAGGTGGAAAGGTAGTGTGGATGGCTCAATGCAAAGCCATTTCCACAAATTCATGTATCTAAAGGTAACCATCTCTAGGGCAAGGGTGTGAGAGGGAAGGAAAAGAAAGAAATTTACATGATAACTTTATATTTAAAAGGAATAGCAAGCTGTAACACAATAGATTTGCAGTTTCATGTGCAATCAAGTT